CACCATGTTCTACACAATCATTCACCAATACTACTAATGTCTCTCCAATTATATTGAAACAATCATTTAGAATATTTTTTGAGAGATTTTCAGTTGGATTTCTACAAGATTTCAATTCCGAGCTTTTCTTAGATTGTTGATGTTAGTTGTCCTAAATTGATTCTGTGATGAATTATGACACACTTGTAATTAACATTTGCCTTTTACAAGTACAAAAGACAAGTCTGATCACAATATATTATACAGGGTGTAAACGTTATGGCAGTCATTATTGAAATGGGTAATACGGGGGGTCAAAACAAGTCAAAAAGTTCATATGACCCATGGTCCAAAAGTCAATAGATTTTTGTCTAAATGGCTTTGTAATGTACAACTTTAAGTGTTTTATATCGACCACAATCACCACAATCTTACTAATTTTTATAATCTAATCTAAAACGTTTGTAAATTGGGTAATTAACAAATAAATGGCATTAAGTTTTTCTAAGTTGAGCCAAAAGTAAGAAAGTAAGTTTCATTAAATTAAATATTTAAAACAAACTTGACAGCTTCGCGTCGGTCATCATCACTCTGATTGAACCGGCAATCAATCGCAAACGGTAACAGTGATTAGTTATCCTTTTGCATAGTTTTACGGCGTTGTCAGATTTATTTTACTTTAAAGTCGCTTTTCCCTAAATAAGGGCGTTTTGACCCCCATGTTATATGAAACTTTTTGCTTCTTTTAACCCCCTCTATCACCCATTTAAATAATGACTATCATAACATTGTACCCTGTATATCAGTTTTTCTTAATCATTTTTTCTTTCTCCGAAACCCCTCGGTTTACAATGCAACTAGCATGCTATTTGGATTCATGTACCAAAAAAATTTAAGATACACCACCGTTCTTGAACATCCGCGTTCGGCCCAAATTGCAGACGTTCTATAACACCATATACGAATGATAAACTAATACCTGAGAGTTTTTATACCTTGAACTTTTGGGTTATCTCTGGAGAGTTTGACATCGAAAGCAAAACGTATTATCAACAGTGAGTCAGGAAGTGGGTGTAAATACCATTAGGTCGATGTTCGATTGATTTTAGGAGTAAATGTTCTGCCCCTTCTATTATTCTAGAGCAAATAATGCCGCCGTCGGTTGCCTATATACACTTGGAACATCCGTAACTCCATATCAGAACGAAAGTTTAATTGTGGGGGCTGGAGAAACTGGAAGACTAATGGCCAGACCGATCAATACAAGACGGTAGTTATAGATAAAGTAAATTGCGTGTACACAGATTTAGTGTGTTTTTTTGTTCTAACGTTTCGGTTGGCACATTTTTATATCACCTAACACAAGGATATTTTACAAGGATAGCAGCAAACCCTGAACACACTGCGTCTGTCCACACTTTCCAAGCGTAAGCATTGAGGGCGCAAATATTTCCGAGTAAGAATAATACATTTTTTTATAACCGCCTTAGGGTAAGACTAGCGCGGTGGTTGGAATAAAACTTACTGCTCAAATGTCCGCCTCACAATCACATGAAACGCGCATTAGAGAATTTATAAATGTGTTGTGACCTATCTGCGGAAAACGTCGATCAGCAGACAGGCAGTCGCATTGTAGGTTGAAGTTTATTTTGTTCTACCATTTTGAAAAGGTATTATATGTTTTATAGTTGTTTTTGCGTTGAGTTTTGATTAGTTTTCCAGATTTTGTGCCTTGAGAGTTGATTGTTTCATTTTGCCCAGATACGAGTATACGCTAAGCAAGTACGCAGATATGCATGTTATTTAAATAAAAATAATACTGCACGAGGTAAAATGTTCAATTCTGACTGTTTCAAAATTAACCTCGTCCAGAACAGTTGATATTTGTAGCAATGGCATGGAAACTGAATATAAGACAGCTTAAAAAAATTGTATGCTGACAATCTCCAAAATTATAGGACTTTTACTGGAACAAAACTTTACCACCTAGTAGGGCATGGCGTGACCTATCTTCAGTTGCAGGGTCATACTTCAATTTCGGGACACCCTGTATATTTAGAGTATAGTAGCTTTTATATAGAGCGCTTCTATATGACACAAACTACAGACAGCGTTCTTGCTAAATATTTCACAAACTAATTAACTGCACAGTAACGTCTTCATTTTTCTCAACTTTCACATTATCACTTTTTTAAATATTTTTATAGTTATATTTCTTTATACTCGTAAAATAAAGTAATATGGGAAAGCATCAATACAGCAGAAGCCGCGAGATAGTAAATTTTATTCAACTACTGTCGTATTATTTGAATGCCCTTGTAGTTTTATATAATTATTTTCCAAAACATTTCTATGAATTTGCTTAAGGTAAGGGAGTGAGAGAAGACATCGAGTTTCTGAAAGAGCCCACGTAACATGTTAGGGGCGATTATTTCAAGGACAAAACAGAAACTTCTTCCAAATTTCGCATAAACATGCACCAATACAATTCCATGTATATGTAAAAATTGCAAGAGTTTCTATATGTCTGACCAAACGCAAATCGTACTCAACAGTCGTGTACAACAAAAACATCATATCAAATAAAGGTGAATGTGCTAGGTATTTTGTATTGCGCACTCCTAGTATTATTAAATGCCGATTTATAAACTCGACGTTTGTGATTGGTCGTTAGCGTTGCAGTTGGCGTTCAAGTTAAAAGTTAGGCAATCTCTACAATATTGTATAAACTTTTGTCGTTCGTTGTTGCCGTTGACGTTGGTCGTTCGACTTGGCCAAGTTTTAACTTTTGCAGCTGCACTTAACCTCAGAATCTGAAAGTGATCATTAGAAAAGCGTTCACTGATATGTTCATTTCCCGAATCCATTTTAGTTAGAATTTTATCAACAGTTTCGCACAAGTACTAGTTGTGACAATCACAATAAGCAATTTTCATTTTGAGATTGACATCATGTATGTCCTAAGTTTCTGACAATTGACAGTAGCAGGAGTATAAATTGCTATTGAACAGCAGCGACTAGTTGCAACAACCAGTTACGACGAACTACAAGCGGCAAGCTTATAAATCGGCCTTAACAGCGAATAGTTGCTTTGGCATTAATTAGTAGTGACCGAAATTTTCGGACGTATATAGGGTGTTTCGTGATTGAATGTCAATATTTGGGGTCCATTTCAAGAAGAATACTATGAACGTGTGTCCTGAATGTTGTAACTTTTGAGATGTAGGGTGGTAAAGTTTTCAATATAGAGTGGCGCACCGTTAACTTAAAAAAAATGAAACCTATATTAATTTATGAGCAGATCAAAAAAATAAAAGCTATTTCTCTACATGTTGATATTTTCATAATAACGATATTGTTACGTTAATGCAGAGAACCGGTTTTTATTTCTCAGTAAGAACCGTGCATCGGGTCGAAAAAATCAAGCGAGCAAATTTGCTCAGATGTGATTAAAGATTTTTACTTTAAGAGAAGTCAGTGACGAACATCAATGTCTGTCAAAATAGATCAAATTCCGTTTGAACACCATTGGTGATAAAAAAAAATGTAGTACATTAAAAAATAAGACATGATACAGAGTACATGCACCATGCCAAATTTTATGAATATACCTAAAGTGGAATTGCAGATATTCATAATAAATCATTCGGAAGCTTCACCAGTCTGTAATTAAGACGTTAAGGACATAAGTTTTCTACTTAAAATCAACCCAAAAATCACCCTATTGAAAAAATAGTCGAATGAAACTAAAGCAACTGCTGAGGTGAGCACAGAGTGAATCTGGGTGGGATAGTGCTAGACTTAAAACGGATCTCATATATGTTATATCGCTCTACTCTTGTAGAATGACTGACACACTGAATGAAAGGTAGCGTGATGCACACGCAAATCTAGCAGCATATTGTGAAATTATCTCCGTTTACGGCATGGGTATCATATAGAAAACCTATAAAACGTCAAAAAAAAACCTATAAGATGTCATCTTGCAAACTAGGTAGTTTTTAAGGCGCAAACAGACATTCTACGTTTGCTCACTAGGATCGTTATGAACGTCAGTCTAAGGAGGAATCACTCAACTAAACTACACACATTACTGGTTGCATATGTTTTGTGAGGCCAAATGGTCCTTGTCTGTAGTTTCTATCTCTGAGAAGAAAGTTGGTTGAATAGCAAGATCGCATCTGGATGATTATGTGTATTGGTCTGCATGTATATAAAATCAGTGATATTTGCTGTGTGAGAAAATTTATACTGAATATGCTGCCAATGAAGAATATCTATTGCCTGTGCCCGAAGGGTAATTTTGATGTTGTGCTTTCTGAAAAGAGGTTAGGTTCAAAGTTATAAATTACGAAAAACTGAGGAGAATTACGCGTTGTGTGTAATTACTGTTAGCAGGTATATGGCTTGTGATGAAAATTTGAATATGTAATTTATAGAATGGATAAGAAAAAGTGGATGCGCAACCAGTTTCTAGCTTTGAATCTCAATTAAGTGTATTTGAGACAAGAACCCTATGTAATCATCATCAACACATACAACTTTTAGCTTAGACCTCTAGTAACGCCATCTCAGAAGCAAATTTTACATCACATTAGAGCCACAGATTGATAACAAGCCTCAAACCTACATAATGTCAAAAAAAACAAGCGTAATGTCAAAAAAATCGGCATAATGTCACTTTTCAAGATACGTGATACCCGTGCGGGTTAATAAACCTGAAGCTGAGCCTTGATAAAGTGGAAGTTAGCAAACAATTATTAGTGACACTGAGTGTCTGACTATCCGGGTAGAAGGAATTAGTCATTCAAAGAAAAATCCTGTCAATCTACGAGATGAACTGACCAAATGGAAGTAGAATACCTACTGTAAGCCTTGGTCTAGGTGCTATCACGATGCGCGAATTTCATTGCATACGATGCATCAGTCAAGCTACAACGTAAAATTTGGAAGCTTGTTATGATAATAAACTGACTGAATAAAAATCAACATCTGTCTCTTTAGGTGAAATATGATCTTACCGCAGCAGTCTTATCGGCATAATTCCTGGCAGCCAGAACGAAACAGGCTTCAGCCTCGTTCATCCTGGCCCTCACTAGGTCGCTGTCCTTTAGGCACGAGCCTTGGATATAGATGACCCGTTGCGCCCATATAGGCACCTGCAGGATCATGCGCATTGTAGTATCTAGCTCCATCGGAGATAGCAATACCACGTAGTAATCCTGAAATCCGAATGATGCCATGTGTATAGCTAATTTCAGTGACTACCTAACAAACACTTCAAGTTATAATTACGACATTTCGACCTCAAAATAGATTAAAAAGATTGAATGACCAATTTAAAAAAAAGGTAATATTTACTCACTTTCCCAAGGTGGGGAATAAACCAAAGTAAGTTAGAAGTCAATATTAGATTGATGAGGCATTTATTACTTATAGGTCGAAGGACATAAAAAACTAATAATAATAATAATAATAATAATAATAATAATAATAATAATAATAATAATAATAATAATAATATCGAATAATAATAATAACCGACTTGGCGAAGTCTACCTTTCAGCTATTCTACTCAACCATCATTTAGGTCATGTTGTAGTAAAATTGTAGTAATTTTGCCCTACCTACCCACCTGACCTAAATTTAACAATAAAGGAATTGCACTTGTATATAACCAGGTGTGTTAAAGAAATCGCTCCCATCTGTGATAGTGATTATAATAGAGTGATTTTGGAATTATATATTCGGTCACAAGTAAATCTATCAAAAATCTATGCAAAGGAAAGTTTTCGTCAAATATGGCCACAAAAAATTCAGAATTCACGGGCCTTAGAAATAGGGTAAAGCAACGAACTTTTTTAACAATTTCAACGAGACACTCTGATAACAATATAACCCCAAATTATAATGACGCTTTGATTTAAGGCGCGAAGTTGCTGATTATAGACAAAATAATAATTTTTTCAACCCACCAAAGCAAGTATGTATTTTTAACTTTTCAGTAAAGTTTACCAAACTTCAGACTTAATAAGCTATGCAAATTAAAAGAATCGAGAACCAAATTTTTTCTTCAAAGTTAGTGTAAATGACGGAATCTAAACGAACATTCACTAAAAGAATCCTTCTAACCTCAAGTACAATAGGGTTATTTAGTAGATATATTGATTTGGTTTTACCAATTTATGCTGCAAAATTAGAAGGAATTTTTATTGGTCGCTAAAAGAATAATTTTTATTTACCAGTATGCCTAAAAAGGAACGCAGGATTGAGGGCACGTTTTAGGTTAATACTCGTACAAGGTAAGCTATAACCTCTGGAGTTGTCTTCGAGGTCAAACATTCTTTGAGTACTTTTTAGAAATGTGTTCTTTGTAGTTTTGAACCAACCAATTCAACCTCTTGGTCGAAGGTCTATTAGGGCCCTAATTTGGTACGTTGTTACCAATTTTTGACACCTAGGTATCTTTTTCTTGAGTGGTAGCCCATTTTAACAAAATGCTAGTTGTGTGTCGTGCATTACTTTTGAAATTCAAAACGTTAGGTGTTTCCATAACATGGGCAGATGCAAATGAACTGGAAGACAGATAAATAAAATATGTAGCCTGATATGTACTTTAAAAAGGCCGCCGAGGTAGCCGAAACGTTAGTAGATGTCAGTGAGACATGTATTCAAATAAATACTTTTTAGGTTTTTCAAAATATTGTATGTGAATTATTATTTTACAAAGTCAGCTAGTCACGATAAGGTACGAAGTGGTAGATTTTACAACTTCCTTTAGACTGACACTTTTACGTGATATTTTGAAAAGCCACACTAACGCCTGCTAGGCTTCCAGGTGTACTTTCCTTCGTAGCAAAAAATCCATATCGTGTCATATGACCCTAAGAACAATAGTACATTGAGGCAAAACTTGAATTTTTGCCCACGTTTTAGAAACATTGGGTAAAAAAGGTTCCTCAAGGATCTTGGCTGTAAGCTGAGCTGCCAATCTTCAGTTCCAAGATTTTGGTTCTCTGTTTGAATTCTTATTAGTGAACAATATGCATATTATTTTTATGTATACGTAGAAAACGTGAGCGTACAAAAAAATTATTTGAGGTAAAGTTGCTTTTCTCGAAAAAAAAAATATCATATCGTCTGTTGTTTGATCAGGTTTCAATGACACATTGACACGCTGTTACTAGAGTGCTGAAACTAAAAAATCATTGCAAGCCCTGAAAATCGGATAACAGGCAGCGAAGCTTCGACAAAAGGAATTATAATAAACTACAGAATGTCAGAAAACTTCATTTTTGCATAACTTACTTTCATAGCAAATGTAGTAACATGATCATAAATGCCAAAAATCAATATTAGTCATTTTTCTCAGTCTTGTCTCTTCTCATTTTTCTACCCTTGTAATGTCTAAAATGGATTCACCGGAGTTAATGGTACAAAAGTATGCTGTGGGGTCGTAACATGCCATTTTTGAAATTCAATTTTGTATGTTTGACAACCTTTTGATAATTCTTTTCCATAGTCATATTGTTTCTAATTTATGTATTAAAATTTTGAGGATCATCGAAACTTTTATTTATAACGTTTTATATTACGTTTTTGGTGGTTTATTAACTTTGTGATCACTTCAGGGTGTAGTTTCAAAACCTTCAGCGGCTCAAAAGTATCCAAGTCTTACTATTAATATGTTAGACACTCCTTGGAAATCTGGCTTGCATTCAGCTAATCCCTTGACTGTTCTCTTTAATTGCAGTTACAGTGGAGGGAGTCAGTTTTCGCAAATATCAAAAAAATACGTTATATGTTTAAGGATAGTTTGTAACAAATTTATTTATATTATGGGCATCATTAGCTGTTATGCATGTACCCATATTTTTTCATTAAACATTCTTTCAACGTGCGGATAACGAGGCTGGTTTAATTTTGGAACACAATATAGTTACCATGTTCAGATATGCTTGGTATACAAAGTCTCTAATGGTTTGTTCGTACACTAGTCGGTAACTTGTCGGTGACTGTCACAATCAGAGAGAGATGTTACCTGTTCCTACGGCCAGTATCGTCAGTCGTCCCTACAATTGTAGGGCGCGTTTATGGCCTCCTTGATTGTCATACTCCTTTCTCTCCTTCAAAAATTTCTAGATTACACTTGTCCCGTGTCAGCGTCAGCGCTCTCCTATTGTGAAGATATGTTTTCTTTTTAAATTGTAGGTAATTTCAGACTGATAAAACATGATATAACTCAAAAGCAAGCACAATTTGATGCAAATAGATGTTTGTGACACCTCAAAATAGAGTTCTGACACGGAGAAGTAGAAAACTATGACATTCAAGGAGGCCATAAAGGCGCCCTACAATTGTAGGGACGACTGACGATACGGGCCTACAGTCTCTGACTGTTTGCCAACAGCTAATCCGATGTTCGAACAGAACCTTCTGACAGATCAGAGGACAGCAGTCAACCAGTGAGAGTGACAGGTGTCAGAGTGTGTCTTGAGAGATAAAATTGCTTCGCAAGAGGCGTTTAATGAATTTTTCTCCAATGGACGGTCTGAGGACACCTTCGTGCCAACGAGCCGTTGGCGATCTAGCTATGCCAACGGGCTTTGCTCCTCAGAGCTCTCTTCCATGGTGTCGCCCCGCTATGTGTCTACCTGATTTCGGCCTCCCATCGTAAGCGTGTCGAACTTCATATATCCAGAACTGGTCGATAAGACTCCTTTGTTCCGAGGGTGTCTGGATCGTGTAACAATCTACATGAGGAGATATTCCCAGTTCTACTAACTTTAGGCAGTTCAAAAATGGGAATAACAAAGTTTCTTTAAGCTCCTGAAAGCAGCCGCAGTGCCTTGGCATGTGCCACAACTCAACAGAAACAAGTTGTTGTAACATTTTCAGGTGAGCAAGTGGCAGAAGAAATTTTAATGAAATTCCATTTTAAATATCAGCCAGCGACAAAGGGCTTTGTGCTCAATATTTTGTTTATTGACCTAGTAATGGCAAAATGAAGATTATGAATACAGTATGAAAAATCTGAACAATAGAGGACATAACTTGCAAGAATCTTAAGTAATACGATTTTTGTGATCACTAATCTTTTGAAAATTTTTGTTACAGTTGCAAAATGCGTAATTACGCGATTTAAGACTTACTTCTATGTATTTTCGTAGTCTCAGTTCTTTTTGTCCATGTTGATAACTCTGTGAAACTTATAGTTGTGTCAGCAGATCTTGATAATTGTAGTTATGTTCAACCGTTTTAGCTTTTTAATGTGTTATACACTTTACTATTCAAAGACGTTATTAAATCCTTGTAGTATTTTCACTTCTTTCTTATAGTAAGACCGTGCATATACAGGGTGCCTCTAATCTGGCACTCCCCATTGGGATCTGGGAAACTAAGGGATACGAAGTCGCTTAAATGGGGTAGTCAACAAAGTGACTCTTAGAAGGTTTCGAAATTCAAAGTACTTCCGTAGGGTAACGGAAAAACTGAATTTTCCCAAAATTGTTTTTTTTCCTGAGTTCATTTATATTGGGATTTTAAAATAAATTGCACATTAACAGTGCCACGTTTGCTCCTCTACAAGAAGGCATAATCAGAATTTCTATATGACGGTTCTTCTCTTGTCCTCGAGCATCAACTTTATTATTTCTTGAGGGCGCTATACTGCATTTTTGCACAGATGAATAGAATGTTTAATTTGACTCAACAAATGCATAATACGTCATATATTGACGTTGTCAAACCTTAATTACTTTAAGAGAAACAGAATTTCTTAGGTAGGCCTTGAAATTATCAGATGTTTCGCTCACCAGATTTATCCTAAAACCGCTGTATTTTTTCCCGACCCTATTCGAGATGGCATTTCAAAATAAATTGCATATTGTCATTCTTACTTATTCTCGTCTACAAGATGACGTAGTCAAATTTTCAATTCGACATTTCTTCTTTCGACTTCCATCACCAAATTTGTTTTTTCATACGGACACTATATTGGAATTTTGTACATTTAAATGGACTCTTTAAGCCCTAAATTCAGTGATTGTTAATAGACCATAAATTTGTTGATGGATGAAAATTGAAAGGAAATAAAAAGATACGGTGAAACCTGAATACGAAATGAAAATTTTATTGATGGTGGTAAGAATAATAACCATAAATAGGCATATAGGTAAATAGGTATTCACAGTCTTCCAAACTCTGTTGCTATGCAAACAAATGAAATCTAATAATTTCAAGGCCTACCTGGAATAACTAAGGTTTTCCACTGTCAATGTATGACATACATTTTTTGGATCAGAATAAAAATTCTATTCATGTGTGTAAGAATCCAATATGGCGTCTATAAGAAAAAAATAAGTTGATGCTGGAGGACAAGAGACGAAACGTCATATTGAAATTCTAATTGTGCCGTCTGGTAGAGGAGAAAATGTGGCAGAGTTGATGTGCAATTTATTATGAAACCCACCAATAAAGTCAGGAGAAAATTAAAACCTTTTAGGGAAATTCGTTTTTTACGTCTCTTTCCGGAAGTACTTTTAATGTCAAAACTTTCTGAGCGACATTTTGCTGATTATCTGAATAGGCAACTCTGCAGCTATTTAAGTGACTTCGTATCCCTTGAGGTTTCCGAGATCCCAATGTTTAGGGTCGAATTTAAAATACCCTGTATAGGGAAAATATTATTTTCACCCCAGCACAAACAGACATTCCCTCTCCGTGGGCACCCGTGAGAAAGAGCTGTATCACAAAATCTCCAGAATTCGTTATTTTGTTTATTTTTTCATCAGATTTGGGCTGGACTTACATAGCTAGAATATATAAATACTGTTTGTGCATACACTTCGTGGCTGGGCGACAAGAGAACAGGGAACAAAAATCCTACTATCGGAGTTTTATTAAAAGTCATTCACAATACTTTGTACATTTCTCATGCGTAATCACTGCAGACGTTTATTCAGAATGCTTACTATGTATTTACTTCATCAACTTGTCATTCGATGTGTGTATACTTACTACTACTACTACTACTTACTATATATGAGAATTGAATGGTAATTACTGAGTAAACCTACTTGACATTTTTGGGTGTTGTTATTTTTTCTTTCAAGTGTTCATGTTTTCCTCCCTAAAGGAAAATATTCGGGCACATTTGGACAGTTGGACGAAAAATCCAAATTCAAAATTGTCTACTTCATTCTGAAAAATTTTACATACGAATAATTATTGTACTTGAGTTCGGGCTCTGACAATTTACTGGAAAATTATTTGCTGACTGATTTGACAGTCATCAAACAGTCAGAAGTTTCTGTATCAACAGCGGATTAGTTGTCGGTAATCGGTCTGACCTCCCTCAGCTAACTCATAACGTTCTCAAGTACGCAATTAATACAGTCAGCGACGTGACAGCGTAAGCTAGGTCATGACTTGTCACCGTCTATCAGTTTTACGAAAAAACCATAAAGAAGCGCTAATAAAAGCTGGAGAATTGTATTATTTTTATGTGGGTTTCGTGTCATCTAAAAAAATATTGGTTGGGATGAAATGCTTAATTGTGAGGCATCTGAAATGAACCTGGTCCAAAAATGGCTATGTTTGTCCAAATGGCGGGAGGGGGGAGGGTTAACTGAATGCAAGCCAGATCTTAAAGAAATAACTATATGCTGAGAATTTCGAAAACTATAAGGCTTTTAAAGAACAAAGTTTTGCCATAAAACCCCATAAAACTAGAGAGTTTGTTGAAGGTGAAGTTCAGCAGTGCACCACTGAAGTGACACACATCTGTTCTTCCAATTAATGCTTGTATGAGGGTTGCTTCGTATGCTTCAGATCTGACCTCTTTGCAACTAAGCTACAATTAATTTATGTTTTATTTTTTTCCAATCACTTCTTGTATCAATACCCTTGTTTAGAGGGTACTCCAGCAGTTCAATAACCTCCCGGCAAAGGTTGTGTCCGACTGATCAAAAACACTTCTGAACATAATACCTATTGCTTACTAGAACATTTTTTCCTCGTAAATGTTGTTTCAGTTTAGAAAATATCATATCCTTAGTAGCAGCCACAACTTAGGAATGTGGTTGTTAATTTACTGTTCAAAGCATACGATGTGTAGCGGAGCCATAGGAAGGCAGAAGGTACGTATGGGAACATTATCCAAATGTTACTTCATTTTTTTTTCAACTTCCTCGATATTTTTTAAGCTTTTTGTCAATTTTCAGATTGAGTTTGAATAATAGGTCCTTGTAATTCTACATGTCCATCATGTGATACCATGTAATTTGCACTTTTTTGTTGATTTAATCAATCCGAGGGCCAGTCGATACCGTTATAGTTGACTCACTGACGTGGTTTTGAAAAGCAGGGTAGCTGACTTAACACTACCTTTTTAAAATCCCATTATTTTATAACTTCAGCTAAAACAGAGTTGTAGCTTCTAAGGCTTGCACATACTGTATTTATTTCTCAGCCGATAGCAGCAATATCGGTGAATAGTATGATGAAAAAAAAATCATCTAGGAGTCATTTTATAGTTCCAGTACAACTTTTTTCAGAGCATCGCAATCTATTCTTGCGATATACAAATCGAAATCAAACGAACTAAATGAAAACTAATAGCTTTGACACGTGGGTAGCTGTAAAGCAATATGAGCATCTCTTTGTAGTATGTATATGCAAATGACGTTAATTAATTGAGTTTGATTAAACATACCGCATCAGAGCAGAGGGAACCCACCAGGATACTTCAAAAGCCATTACAATGAATTGTAAACACTTTTATCATCACTATTTATAGAATTTCTGGGTAAGCGCATGTTTGCAAAGCGTAACAATGGTATTGCATAAAATATCGCATTACAGCGAGAAAATGAAACCTTTAGGTTCATTACCGCGTGATAATGTTGGTTCGCCTATTTGCCAAAGACAAGTTGTCGACTAGGTCCAAAGATCATACGTCCAAAACATAAAAACGAAGTCTAATGATATTTTGGATATTTATAATATAATGCATTTGCCATCGATCTTCAAAACTCAAACTTTCCCGTCCTTCGCTATCTGAATTATACTTTCCAAAATACAGTGGCCAAGAATCATCCTTTTTGTTCAATTTCACGTATCCGTTCGATGCATTAGGTCGATTGTTAAAAACTATCAATCTTTTTTATGCTTGCAGTAGTTATAGAAGGGCTATACCGGATGTTTCAAATCCCACTCTTACAATTGGGATCTCGAAAACGGTCAGAGACTCAGAGTCAGCTCAAAGATGCAAAGGAGGTGGGTTGATAAGGGCCATTTTTCGCCCATAACACACTCAAAAATAAAAAAGTTCGATTCCAGACTATTATAATATATAATAAATAAATAATGTAATATGCTTTTTAATTATTGGCAAGAAATATAATATTTAGCGCTTTTTGTGCATTTTTGTTCTTTTTCGATCTTTGAATCATGTTTTCCATACGAGACGTTCCATGAACCACATTAGCTTTAATGCTCAGTAAGTCTACTTATTATAAGCTTGTATATGAGTATTTATTTGTTTTGCTTCAATGAGCGCATCAATCCAAAAATACGTAATATATGCTGCGGGAGAGTATGAGTCACGCTGCAATCGCTGCGTGTTCAGACATGATTTTTCGAAGACAAGGAAGAAGATTAGTAAAAAATACATTATGTATATGAAAACTGATTATCTTTTATTATTGTTTAATAAACATATATAACACTCAGATAGTTATTTAATTTATGTAAACCACGAATTTTAGTTTTCATTTGAAATAAGTATGTTTTCTTCGTTGTTATGGATTACGAGGGATGTCTTTTAAGTTTTGCATATAGTAACATAGTAGGCCGCGCGGATCGAACGTGAGTACTGAATCTTAACCTCACCCTTTAGTAAACTTAAATTCAAAGTTTCACAACAATACGTGCAGTGTTCTCACTACAGTGAATTTTTAAGTGGACAATTTCCCATTGGTATGGAGAATTCAAACGTGGAAGGGTGAGTCTTAGCGACGATCCCAGGGTGGGTGCACCAAAAACAGCAGTCACCCAGGAAAACGTCGATGCTGTGCGCAAACTCATCATTGAAGATAGACATGTGACATATCGCGAGATTGAGGCGTCCTTGAAGATCTCAAACACCTCAATTCAAAAAATTCCACATGTAGAATTAGGAGTAAGAAAATTAGTTTCTCGTTGGATACCCCACCTGTTGATTGAAGAGCAGAAAGCAACCAGGGTTAATTGGTGTCAAAAAACGCTTGACCGTTTCAATTCCGGAAACTCAAAAAATGTGTACAGCATTGTTAGTGGTGATGAATCGTGGATTTACTGTTATGAACCAGAAAATAAACGACAGTCGGCTGTTTGGGTGTTCCAAGGTGAAGAAAAGCCAACAAAAGTCATCCGTTCTCGAAGTGTTTCGAAAAAGATGGTCGCGGAATTTGTGTCAAAAGCGGGTCATATTGCAACAATTCCTCTTAATGAGCAAAGAACCATTTGTTTGCCAAAAGTCATCACCGAGCTTCGAAAAATCAACCCCGAAAGAAGAATCATCCTCCACCAAGACAATGCAAGCTCACACACAGCCCAAAAAACAAGGCAGTATTTAACGGAAGAAAACATGGAATTATTGGACCATCCTACATATAGTCCCGATATAGTCCTAACGATTTCTTTACTTTCCCGAAAATTAACAGACTGCGTGGTCAAAGGTTCCAGTCACCAGAAGAAGCAGTTGACGCATTCAAAAATGCTGTTTTGGATCTGAATGCAAACGAATGGAATAAGTGCTTCGAAAATTGGTTCGAGCGCATGCAGATGTGTATTAATCTTCGTCGAGAATACTTCGAAAAACAATAAAGTCATTTAAAACTACCTACCGTGTTGTTTTATTTCCATATGCGAGACATCCCTCTATACTCTTCATAAATAAATATGTCAAAATGGCTCTTATCAACCCACCTCGTTTAGGTAACTAACAACAATGCCCGTTAGAGTATTCCGCAATTCCGAATATTGCAAAAAACTAAATATTCCCTAAATCGTTTTTAAGTTTTTCTGAGTCTACTTGAGGTAAATTGCACATTAACACTGCTACTTTTTCTCCTCTACAAGGTGGCATGATTAGAACCAATAATCAATTTTATTTTTTATTAGGAACGCCAAAGTGAATTTTTACACAGGTAAATAGAGTATTTGGGAAACGTGGTAAATGACGTTCAAATAATTTGCCAATTTATCTACTTGAAGAAGGCACTCTACAACCGTAGATTGATATTATATGAATGCAAGATGTGTTCATCGGTTTATATATGACGTATATTGAATGTATTTAGAAAGCTACATCGTGGAGTCGTTTATTTAGTCTAAAATGTCCATGAAATAATACCATTTTCAAGGCTACTTTTAAATAAAATGAAAATTCTTAGTATCATGTTGTTCTTTATTCGATGAGTTGAGACGAACTATGGAAGATTACTTTTTTAGACATTCAAAGTTTTATAATATCAATCAATCTATGTCATGATATGTACAAACCTTATCATGAAAATTGGTAATAGGAACTGTTCATCAATCCCCAGTTCATAAAGAGGGAAAGCTTGGCTGATAATATTATGAAACAAATGACTATTTGATCATTTGAAGGCCTACTTAGTAAATTCTGTTTTGTAATAACTATGGTTTGGCAATGTGAATATATGACATATACATTTTTGGAATCAGAATTAGATACTCTGCTCACCCATACAAAAATCCAATATGGCATCTATAGGAAACATAAAAGTTTATGATCCAGGAGAGGAGATGAAACGTCCTATTGAAAATCGAATTATGCCATCTGGTAGAGGAGAACATGTGACTTTAATGTACTCTTTATTTTAAAGTCCCGTCCGAAATACAGTCAAGGAAAAATTAAAATGATTTTGGGAAAATACGGTTTTTGTTTATGTCCAGAGATACTTGGAATTGCAGAGCTTTCTAAATACCGTTTATTTAGTTACACAGATGCGCAACTTTGCCCCCACTTAAGCGACTTCGTGTCACTTACCATTTCCAAGATCGCACTGGCGAGAGCCGAATTTGAAACATCTGGTATACATAGCGGGTGTAACAAAACTAACGGACTGGTTTGTATTTACCGGGCAAACTACTTTTGAGGAAGGTCTAGGTTAGGTCTACATATGAACTTTGGACAAGGAGCTAAATGGTGACTTTGGATTTGATATTGAGCCTCATCTTCAAAGCTGTTTTAACATCAACCTTTGTTCTTTAAGTAGCAAGTTTTCCTTCCGACATCGTAAGGACAAATTCTATGCATATATATATATATATATATATATATATATAGCTCCTCTCTAAAAGTCCTGTGTGTGAGGCTAAGGAAAATTCCTAGAAGTTAACCAGAATTGTAGATAAAAAATGTATTAAAGACAAGTCTTTTTGGTAACTATCAATAAAAGTCCATTTAAATGTACAAAATTCAAATACAACGTCCATATGAAAAAACAATCTTGAGGAGAATAAGCAACAATCAATCATTTCTCATAAAGTCAGGAGAAAATAAATGATTTTGGGATAAATCTGGAATGCGAAACAAATGACTATCTGATAATTTCAAGGTCTGCCTAGGAAATGCTGCTTCTTTAGGAATAACTAAGGTTTGGCAATGTCAATGTATGATGTATTGCACATTTTTGGAAGCAGAATTCAATACTGTATCATCTGTTCTCCAATAAGGTTGATGCTGGAGGATAAGAGAGGATACGTCATATTTAAATTCCAATTATGTCTTCTTGAAGAGGAGAAAAAGTGCTAATGTTGATGTGCAATTTATTTTGAAATCCAATTAAAAATAAAGTCAGGAATAAATTAAAACGAAATTCGATTTTTTCCGTCTCTCTCTGGAAGCATTTTGAATTTCGAAACTTTCTAATCAGCATTTTGTTGGTTACCTGAATCTGCAACTTTACACCCTCCGACCACTACAGTTTGCGAGATCCCGATGGTGAAACATCTTGTATAGTAATGGTTGTCTTTCCTTACCTGTAAAAGAGGATGTGCATAAAACTCGTTGAGAAAGTCCATGATAGTGTCTGCATGTAAAGTCGTACTGCACACCACCACATGCTTCTCTGATTGTGCCCTATGTGAGGAGTACGAGCCCCCTAACTTCTGACGTTCCATCCAGGTAAAGGCCAGTTGCTCGAACTGAAACAGGGGGGTATGTGAACACACAAAACATATGTAAGTTGTAAGTAGTTTTGGCAGTGATTAACGTATTCAATGTAAATATTTAATTGTAGTTACTCGACTCCTACAGTCCAAAAAGTAGATTAAGATCATGCCGCTCGTGATATACCATATATTTCTTGATATACTGAATATCTGTTGCTATATGACAGCATTTTGAATAATGGGAAGTCCGACTTATATACGATGTGAAAGTTAATAAGGTTGCATATTTTTCCATGCAAAAATAATTTTTAGCTTTTACAGTGGCGTGCGTACGGGAATTGACTTCGATATTTTTTAAGAAAAAAATGGTACGCCAATGGTTTGCAAAATAAAAATTATTTTTGACTTCTCCGTTCAAATTAAAACAAATGTTTTCCTTCGATGCGCCATATTTGAGTAAAAAAATAAAAACAGTTCTATTGTCTAACTTGCAAAATTATTAATAATTTAATTAGAAAAATTAAACATATTAGGGGTACTCGTAATGAACAAAAACAACTGACAACATAGACATAACATTAAAGCCAACGAAATGATTACAAAGTTGTTGAAAATGGCCCCCTTCACTTAGTATGCATACTA